TCTACATGATAGGAACTTCCCTTTCAATACTGCTTTTGCTGTGTACTACAGATTTTGGGTAGTTGTGTATTCATTTTCATTTGTTTCTAGGTAATTTTTTTATTTCTTCCTTGATCTCATTGGTAACCCATTCATTCTTTAATAACATGCTATTTAGCCTCCATGTGTTTGAATATTATATGAGCTTTTTTATTGTGGTTGATTTCTAGTTTTATGCCATTATGATCTGAGACTATGCCTGATATGATTTCATTCTTCTTGAACTTGTTAAGATTATTTTGTGTCCTAGCATGTGGTCTTTCTTTGAGAATGTTCCATGTGCACTTGAGAAGAATGTATATTCTGCTACTTTGGAATGAAATGTCTGTAAATATCAATTAAATCCATTTAATCTAGTGGGTTGTTTGAGATCATTGTTTGCTTGTTGATTTTTTGTCTGGAAGACCTATCCATTGATGACAGTGGGGTGTTAAAGTCCCCTACGATGATTGTATTGCTGGCAATTTCTCCCTTAAAGTCTACCCAAAGTTTTTTTGATATATTTAGGTGCTTCTATATTGAGTGCATATACGTTTATGACGGTTATATCCTTTTGTTGAATCAACCTCTTTATTATTATGTAGTGACCTTCTCTGTCTCTTTTGTGGCCTTTATTTTGAAATCTATTTTGTCAGATATAAAATTGCTACTCCAGCATTTTGTTTGTTTGTTTCCATTTGCATGGAATATTTTTCCCACATGGCTGGTCTCAACAAAGTGGGAACTGAAATTCCAATATCCACTGGTGCTCCAAACTCTCCGCAGTGTGGGCCTCAAATCTCCAATCTGTGTTTCTCCCCCATGACACCCACCTAGCAGGTGGAGCAGTCTAGGAGGCTCCACGGGAGGGGGGAGGGACTCCAGCCCTGTGCTCAAGGTGAAGAATCCTTTCCCCTTTCCCTAAGCCAGACAGCTGTCATTGACGGGCTCTGCACAATGCCTATCAAGAAAGAAGAGGCCCCCACAGACCCCTCTGCTGGACCCAAACATGGCAGCACAGCCTCTCCAGCGGTCAGAGCCCAAACAAACTTCTCAGGCTTGGGGTGCTAACAATAGGAGCGCTCTTTCACTGGGAAGCTGCTGTCCAATCTCCCAGGCAGACACAATCCCCCTGGTTCCCTCTGCCGATGCTACACGAGCTCTTCTTGCAGTCTCTGCTGCTCTGGGTTTGGGATCCCTGCGGGGGGTTGAGACACCACACTCCCAGGGGGAGGGAGCGTTGCAGGCAATAGCACTCGGTCCTCTCAGCCATGGCACTGCTGTGTTCTCTCCTTTTCTACAAACCCCCTCCTTTGACCAGTTTCTCCATGGTTTCCTCAGTGCTGCTGAGATCTAAGATGTCCAATCAGCTACACTTCACCTGGTTTTTCAAGTTGATTACACAGTATTTAGCTGTAAATCTTGTCCCAAACTGGGAGCAAAGGCATGCAACCTCTAGTTACTCTACAGCCATATAGCCTCTCCGCTGGCTAGTTTTTTAAGTATCCTTTTCTCTTAAAGATACATATTAATGAACTAATGTCTTGGATTTTACTTTAAAATAATCCAGAGGTTTGAGCACCTATTGATGACTACTGAGGCTGGGTGATTAGGTGCATAAAAGGGATCATTATGCATCTCTACTTTTGAATGGATTTAAAACTTTTCCATAAGATATTTTTATATCATTTACATATTAAAAATTAGCAAGGTAGATGCTCTGAATTTTTGATGATTCTTTGTGATCAAGCAGCTTCTCTTGTGAGAACTGGGTGTGTGGGTATTCATTAGAATCACCTTTGAGGTAAACACAAGCAGGGAATTTTGCAATGATAATGATCTCACAAATAGCACAAGGAGATTATTCTATAAAAATGAGCAGAAAAAGAAAAAAATTTAAAATGCTCATTTAAAATATAAAACACTGATCGGTTCCTATAATCTTAATATAATTGAAACAAACATGGAAACCCATAAACTAAAAACAGCACATCTTAGCTTCAAAAAGACACATGTAGAAATTAAGCTGGTTTGTTATGTGTTCAGTAAATAGCCTTGCATACAATATATTATCTCTCACCCAGATTTCTACAAAATTTATTTATGGAGTCTCAGTTTCCTCATCTATAAAATGGTAATACTGCGCCTTGAAGATTATTATGAGAGCTAAAGAGTATGTGTAAAGTATTAGTTACAACTGCTGACATAACGCAAGTATTCCATAAATGATAACCAATTATTAGCCATTCAACACATATTTGTTCCTATTAAGCCAAGTAGTCTTCTTTTTTCTATCCTCACCTGAGGATATGTTCATTGATTTTTAGAGAGAGAGAAACAGAGAGAGGGTGAAACATCAACCAGTTTGCCTCCTGTACGCACCCAAGCAAGGATCGAACCCACAACCTAGGTATGTGCTCTGTGCGGGAACTGATGGGGTTTGGGACAACACTCCACCAGCGGAGCCACCCATGGGGCAGCAGTCCTCTTTTCTTACACATCTCCCTGCCTCTACTCCACTTCACTTTCCACATGGACATGTTTCTGATTGGGCCTGTCTTTTGCATGCAAGACAAAGACCAAACTCTTTAATCATTCATTTTGCTGTTCATTCAAATCCTATCTAATAAAGAAGGAAATGCTAATTGATCCTCACACCATTGCAAAGATGGCGGTGCTCACAGCCAATAAGGAGGGAATATGCTAATTGACTGTCACACCCTCAAAGATGGCGGCACCCACAGCCACAGATGGCGGCTGCCCAGCCGCCCAGGGCCATCTAAGGCTCAGGTAACCAGGGCCGGCCGAGGCTTGCGCTGCTGGCAGTGGCAGCAGCAGAGATGTGATGGGGGCATTGCCTTCCCCTGATTGCCGGGGCACCTCTTGCCCCTGAGGGTTCCCAGACTGTGAGAGGGTGCAGGCCAGGCTGAGGGACCCCCCTACAGGGCATGAATTTTCATACACCGGGCTTCTAGTACTTAATAAACACTAACTACATGTCAAACACTCTTAATTCACTGAAATGCCTGTTTCTACATTTGCAAATTCACTCTATTTTAAAAAGTATATACATCTAAGCCACAGAATTTATTGTAACATCACTCTAAATACAAAATTCAAAATTCTAAATCCCTATAATATGTCAGGCTTTGGAAGCATAAAGCTGAACAGGACAGTCCCTTTGCACTCAGACACTTTCCATGTAATGGTAAGACCAAGCCATGAAGAGAGACAGGAAAAGCAGCTCTAAAGCAGAAAGGAGAGCATGAGAAGGGCTCCCTCAGCCAATGCTGGTACCACAAGTGGCAGCTTGGACTCGCCTGTGTCTGAGATGAAGGACAGCCATTTCCTCCAGGCCCTAACATAGCAGGAAAACTTTCAGCTCTCCCACGGCGAGGAATTTTCACACACAAGCACCTTAGCTTATAGAGTGCTCGCACTTTGCACCTGGTAAAGGCAGATCGCTTACCCCCTGGGTAAGTTTGGCCAGTTAGTTACTTCCATTTGGCCTGCTTTTTCTTGTAAAGTTATGATAACAACAGCACTACATTACACGGCCGTTTTAAGGATTATCTAAGGGATGTGAAACACTTGTGACGGCATATTCCATGTGTGCACAATACATGTTAGCTGTTCTCTTTTTTTTCTTGAGTCAAAACTGAATTTCTCATTAAAACCTTTAGCATACCCAATCCTAAGACTCCTATTGTCATTTTTCACTCTCTCACACACACACACACACAATTCTCATATCTTCTTTGCACAAGGAACTGAGTCATTGGGTCTAAGCCTCAAAAGGTGGCCACGATGATGGCTTAGGCCAGTAGCTTTCCTTTTTTTTTTTTTCACTAGAACCTTCAGTAAGGCAGGAATTTTACTGTTAAATATAATACTTGGGTGTGTCTCTGTGTATGTGTCTGTACATATATATATATATATATATATATGCACATACAAGACAGTCACAAGAAGTAACACCACCTCTATATGCAAAGCACTCTTATTTCCTATTCTTTTTTTTTTTTTTTTAATATGCTGGCCCCAACCAACTAAATTGATTTCATGAACGAGTTTTAAAAATGCTGCATTAGACTACTTTCCTCATTACTTTAAAAAAGGGTGATCTGCCCTGGCCGGTTTGGCTCACTGGATAGAGCATTCGCCTGAGGACTGAGGGGTCCCAGGTTCGATTCGGGTCGGGGGCATGTGCCTTGGTTGCGGGCACGTCCCCGGTGGGGCGGGTGCAGGAGGCGGCTGATTGATGCTTCTCTCTCATCGATGTTTCCAGCTCTCTGTCCCTCTCCCTTCCTCTCTGTGGAAAATCAATAAAATATATTAAAAAAAAAAAAGGGTGATCTATTTGTAAGTCATTATTCTATCATTGTATACTACTTACAAAGAAATGCTAAGTAACACTGAATTTAGCTTTTAAGTATTTATATGACTATGAAGTCACATCATATTCAACTTCAAATATTTTATCTTTTAACAAATATTCATGTTTATCTAGCAATTTCTGGGTTAATCAAGAAAGTGTTACTAAACATGAGCTATTAACTTAAGTCTACCTAACAGAATTACTAGTAAGTCATTTCCTCTTTGCAACGGCAAAGGGCCCCATGTTTCAAGACTGAGTAACTCTGCCCACAGATGGAATATTAACCTGCTCTTAAAGTCATCAACAGCTGGCCTTCCAGTTCAGTAAGAAAGCACTTGTGTTATTAGCTTTCCTACCCTCAAACAAGATACCATCTCCTCTAAAGAAACATGTGTCAATGGTGTGCAAGGGAAAAGTGAGCTCTGGAATTAAAAGCTCCTCTACAACAATGTCCAGAATTTCTGCTTATCAGATTGCTACATTAAAGATGGCAACAATAAAAATATAAGCAGGAAGAGAACACAACTCTAACTCATGCAACTTAAAATTAAATCTAGAGAGCAGCTTTCAGAAGAACACAGGAAGACAGAGATGTGGAGCTCACCTCTGCATTGTCACTGCTGGGCCACGATGCATCTCCGCTGCTACAGTCAACTCTGCCTAGTCCGTCACCAGGGTCTGCTTCCACCTCAATGACTGCGTGTGTGTCACTGCAAGGCTTCGAGGATGTAAGTACAGCTCCGTCCTAAAATGGATTAAACACAAGCACATTAAAGAGACTTTCATTGTGGCCTGCATAAAGAAATCGAGTTGCACTACAATCTAAAGAAGAATGCTAACATCTGGCCAGTTTGATGTGATCAAGAATGCTTAAAGATCTAAAAGTTAAAAACATAAACCACTACTAATTCTGTGGTTGTAAAATGGCAATGATCAAAGACAGTTAAGTAAGGAGGATAAAGTTTGAATTTCCATATAGAACATAAAGGTAAAACAGTTTGTTAAACTATATGATTTCTATTTCCTGCCCATTAGTAAAGATTATTACACATCGCATCTGGTTCACTGCCTTTCAACACTTCAGATTTCAGTAAATCACAAATACTGAGATACAGTGCTCTAACATAATGATAAGCTTTTAGATCAGGAACCACATTTTTACTATTCGAACATAGTAAGAATGCTGTCTTTGCTCAGTAATAACAACATAAAACTGTCAACATAACTGAAGGGTATTTCTAAAAACATCTATAGTTGATGGAACTGAAAGTGATAAAAAAATAAATAATGCAAAATAAAAAGTACGCTAAACCAGCAAGTCAGGAGACCTTATAAGTGTGATCTTGTGTACGTCATTTAACCAGTTTAGGCCTTAGTTCTCACCATCTTGGCAGGATTTTTATTTATGCTAGAGGACCTTAAAAAGTGCTGTTAGTGCTAGATCCTGGCTGTCAATGCCAGGCCTAACTGAGGAAGAAGAGCAAATCAGCAGCTCTTACTGCTTTTAAATGATATAGGCAATTCATCCTTTTTGCTTTAAAATGAAGTAAAGGAGCTTTTCATATCCCACATCTGAATATTATAGAATAGAAATCTGGTTGAGATTTAATGCTAAGCTATTTTTTCTAATGACACCATCATCTCCATACTTATACTTATGTAGCAAATTCAGCTGAAATCTATTTTAAAATTACAATGAAATTATAGTATTAGGAATGTGAATGTGCTTTGAATTCATCAGACAGGGTTAAATTCCAGTTCCATTGCTTCTGAGCCAAATGATCTCAGCAAGTTATTTAATCTTTCTGAGTTCTTTAAGTGTGTATGTAAAATGGGGGAAACATCAGAATACCTGATGTAAGAGGGCTGTTGTGCAGACTAAGAAAATGCCTGTCCAAGTACTTCGCACAATGCCTGTCAATTTGTAAAATCTTATAACTATACTTAAAAACATAATTGCAGAAGGAACCTCAAAAATGTAAAATACATATATATATGTGTGTGTATATATATATATATATATATATATTTACACATTTTAGTAATTTGTCACATCAAAGCAAAAGCAGTCTTTTTAAAATTATTGTGGGAAAAAAAACATCAAATCATGAGCAAGGCAATAATCAAAGCCCACATTTCTTTCAATGAACCATTATTTCTGTCATGCCCTACACAGGGCCGCCTTTAGGACGTAACTTTTCCAACAGGCACTGCGGCGCTATCTGGCGCGCTCAGAGCACAGAACCGGGGAGGCTCTGGGGGTGCTGCTACCTGCGCGGGGCCTGCGGCTTTGGAGAGCTGCTCCTGCAGCTGAGGGAGGAGTTTCTTGGCCTCTTGGATCTCTTTTAGCAACTTTGGGGTAGGTGCTCGATTGTAATCTTCCTGCAACAACTGAAAAGTTATAAAAACATTTTGATAATTGATTGCTTATGTCAAGAAAATAGAGAAAGTCTATTCTTAGTCAAATAGCTGATGGCACCAATCCCACTGTCTGCCTGCGACTCTGACAAGAAGCCAGTCATCTGACTGCCTGGACACCGCCCTTTCCTAAGGCAGTACCTGCAGCCGTTCCTGTTCTTTCTGTAACATTTTTCTCAGAATTTCTACTTTCTGGTTATGAACCACATTGTTTTCCTCCTAGAAAAAGATAAAAAACCAACAAACAAAAAAGAACCAATACAGGAAAAGTGAAGCTAAAATAAATAAGGAAAACGAGACATATAATGTTATGCCCCAGCTCTGGTTTTCAATATCTATTTCAATTTTTTATTTCCATCACTTATAAGGATGGACTTTTAGACATGACATGAAAGATAACAGATTACAGGGAAATTTTAGCCCTTTTCACTTTTACTAAACTAGGATTCAAGAAAACATTAAATACTTATATTAGTTGGAAAATGAAGTTGGCTTAAGTATAGGAATAATACTTATGCTTTCCTATCTTTAGATCATTATTGTCAACCCCCATGCATGGCTCATATTCCCAGTACTTCCTTCCTGACCTCACGCCATCTCTCCTTGTTTTGTAACCCTTTATTTAATCAATTAGTCCTCCTAAACTCCTGTTATAACCACATCACTCTCTTGCTCAAAAGAAATTTTAATGGATCTCACTGCCTATCTAGTTACATATAAAGTAACCTGGTAGTTGTGAGTTTTTTGAAAATAAATAGTCCTAAGTTTTCAAGCTCCTCTTCCACTACATAAATCCTTAACAGGCACCAGCTACTTCCAAAACATATTTGGTGCTTTCTTGGCTCTTTCCCTCTACTTCCTCTACCTGAGTTGCCTTCATTTCCATTGCCACCACTCACTTGTGACCTGTTTTTCAAGGCTCAATTAATAAAATAGCTTTCGACAAAGTCCTTCCTTGTCACAACTGATGTATTTTTTCCCTCCTTGGAATTCGTAAAGAACTTACTGTTTTCCCCCTCATGTCACATTCTGCCTTTGTATTGTAATTACTTACATACACTTAACTCCATCTTAAACAACAAAGGTTTATTAAGCACCTACTATACGCCAAGCACTAAGTACTTTTTTCCAGAAACTAGGGGCTCAACAATAAACAAAACAAAACAAACAAACAAATAAACAAACAAAATACCCATGTTCTTTCAAAGTGTATATTCTTAGGTAATATAGACCTTGAACATAGGATATTTTAAATATTTTTGTGAGTGGCAAATGGTTTTGTGTATAGTAGGTGTTTAATATTTTTTAAATTAAATCTCCTGTCCCAAGACTCAGTAATCATTCCAAATTACAGCTGACCCTTGAACAGCATGCGAGCTAGGGATGCCAGCCCTCTGTGCAGTCGGAAAGCTGCGTGTGACTTTCCACTCCCCCAGAATGTTACTAATAGCCTATTACTGACAGGAAGCCTTATCAATAACATAAACAACCGATGAATACATATTTTGTATGTTATTTGTATTAAATACTGAATTTTTACAATAAAGTAAGCTAGAGAACAGAAAATGTTATTAAGAAAATCATAAGGAAGAGAAAATACATTTACTGAAAAAAAAAATCTGTGCATAAGTGGACCTGCACTCTTCAAACCCATATTGTTTAAGGGTCAACTACATTATGTCATTATTATATTAGGAAGTTATTTTCTAGAATCTTGAACTTAAATTCGTTTATCAGCTCAATACCACAAAATTCTGAAAATAAAAAGTGAAGGCATTATGCAACTGAGCATTTACAAAGATGTTTCCCGCTCTTACCCCCATGAGCACAGGACTAGTAATTCTCTCCATATTCCCAGATGCTCCCGGTGAGTGAGGAGATGTCATGATAGGAGACATGTGTCCAGTGACTGGCGGCTCTCCTTCAGAATCAGCAAGTGGGATCTGGGGCATCCCCGGGGGGCGTCCCTGAACAGTGAGAGCTACATAGGAACCAGCTTGGGTGGGCAGAGAAAAGAAAGGGAAAGCAACATTGTACACAAATTGTTACAGCATTTCACTACTTAGCCTTTAAGTTCTAAAAGTGTCGTCATGTGAGAAAGCTGCACCAACTGCTAACCACTGATCCACATAAAAACAACCCAATGTTTTTTTACGAATCCTCTAAGAATCTAAAAGAACAATGTCATTTTCAGATAGTAAATTACTACTCATAATATTACTTAAAAGCAAATAAAATGTATAACCCCCCAATTTTTAATTAGAGAAGAGTGAATTAATATCAACCATCTACTAATGACTATGTTTAATTAATTTCTTAAATGCAAAGCCCTAGCTGGTTTGGGTCAGTGGATAGAGCGTCGGCGGACAGACTGAGTGGCCCTGGGTTCGATTCTGGTCAAGGGCACATGCCCAAGTTGTGGGTTTGATCTCCAGTGCGGAGATATTTTTTTAAAAAATATATTTTATTGATTTTTTACAGAGAGGAAGGGAGAGATAGAGAGTTAGAAACATCGATGAGAGAGAAACATCGATCAGCTGCCTCTTGCACGCCCCCTACTGGGGATGTGCCCACAACCCAGGTACATGCCCTTGACCGGAATCGAACCTGGGACCTTCCAGTCCGCAGGCCGACGCTCTATCCACTGAGCCAAAACGGTTTCGGCTCTTAAATGCAAATTTTAAAAAATAATTTTAAGATGATAATTAATTAGGCAGAGTTTAACTAATTTTCTAGAATATAATGATGCAATTTTAAATTAACTTTACTAGATAAAATTGACAAAAAGTATACCACAAAAGCCAAGAAAAATCTCCATAAATAAGTAATGAGTTTAATTTTTAAAATTTGGAGAAGACTGATGGGGCAAGATGGCTGTGGGACCAGGAGACCGTGTACCCGTGCTCCCAGCCTGAATGGACTTACAGCTGAAATGCTATGCGGTTGCCTGGAAAAGTGAGAAGTGTAGCTGACCGGACATTATTTGTCTAAGGAGCCCTGAAGAAACAGCGTAGAACTGGTAAAAGGGGGGGCCCCCCGGGGCGGATGCTTGGCTGAGGCCTAAGTGATATTGGCTGCAAAGCTCCCTCCACGCAGGGACCCCCAACCCCAAGCAGCAGAGACTGGAAGGAGAGTCCGCACAGCATCAGGCCAAGGGGTCCAGGAGACTCTGCCTGCCTAGGAGGCTGGGTCCTCCCTTCCCAGTGACAGAATGTGCCAGGTGCTGGCTGCCCCAGAGGGGATTCCCCGCAGGCTCTGACTGCTGAGGCTGCACAGCAGTGTTTGGCTCAAAACACAAGGCGCCTGAGGGCTGCACCCAGCAGTGATTTGAGGGACGCTGGGCTTTCCTGAAAGGCTTGTGCAGAGCCCAGAGCGATGGCGTGGGGAGGGGAAGGGGAGTCCCCAGCTGGATGTGTGGGGTTGGAACCCCCCCGGCACCTGTGAAGCCACAGGGCCTGCTCCAGCCTGTAGAGTTGGCAGCGGGCAGGTCGGGGATTTTATTTTATTATTTTTTATCCTCACCTGAGGATATTTTTCCATTGATTTTTAGGGAGAGTGGATGAGAGAAGGAAAGACAGAAATATCAATGTGAGAGAAACACATTGACTGGTTGTCTCCTGCATGAGCCTGACCAGGGCCCGGCCAGGGAAGAGTCTGCAACTGAGGTAAGTGCCCTTGACCAGAATCGAACCCGGGACCCTTCAGTCTGCAGACCAATGTGCTATCCACTGAGCAACACCAGCTGGGGCTAGATCGGGGATTTGAAGCCTGCACCGAAGAGAGTGGGAGCACAAGTGGAGCGGGGATAACTGGTCCCAGCTTTCCTGAGACGCCATGTGGAGATTCCGGAGTCCTGAGTGGGGCTGACTTCGCAACCCCTTCTGCTTGGACTGTGGCGCAAGGGCACCAGGTCCTGGCAGGCTGAGTCTCTCTGGATGGGATCCCATGGGAAGGCTTCCACTGAGGAGACAGAGGAGGGAGAGCTGTGCTTTGTGACTGCATTGAGGAGAGGCTAATCCAAATTCCCTGTGCGTCCAGGCGACCAGGCCTGGGAAGGAGAGGGCAGAGCTTGTCTCCCCCTCTTGTGGGCTGGGAACACCCCTACCAGAAGGGGACCAGATCCTCCGCTGGGCACACTTTGGTGGGGGCAGGAGAACAGCCCAGAGTAGGACATCCCGAGAGTAAGACCCTCAAGGCCGTTATCTAGCAGCAGAAAAGGCATAGCCCGGTCCTGAGGGTGAGACTGGCAACATTCTCAATTGGAATCTCTTTTTTATTATTTTATTATTTTATTTTTTTATTGATTTCAGAGAGGAAGGGAGAGGGAGAGAGAGATAGAAACATCAATGATGAGAGAGAGTCATTGATTGGCTGCCTCCTGTACATCCCCTACTGGGGATTGAGCCCGCAACCCAGGCATGTGCCCTTGACCAGAATTGAACCTGGGACCCTTCATTCCACAGGCCGACGCTCTATCCACAGAGCCAAACCAGCCAGGACTCGGAATCTCTTTTGAAAAATCCCACTGAGCCAGGGCAGCAGAAACTTCTCCTGCAGAATGGGCAGTAGGCCATGTCCAACCTGAGCCTGCCCAGGCCCCCTTGCAGGGAACTGGAGTTGGAGGATATGGTAGAGACTGAGGAGTTGGGCTTTGCAGCAGATTCATTTCCCCTCAGTGAGTGCCTGATGAGTAATCTCTAAGCTGGGGGCCCACTAGCTCTAGCCGTGCTCGCCTGGCTTCACCCTAAAGACTCTCTTCAGAAAACACTGGAAGAAAACCAGGCAACGGGGGGGGGGCGCGAGCAGAGTAGCTGTAGCCTCAGACTGACCACAGCTACAACAAGACATCCAGAGCCAAACGTGGACAGCTCCTAACGTTGGCTGACACAAAAGTACCTCCCAGGAGGCCTGAAATCAAAATACAAAACAGTGAGTCTGATCATGTAATCCATCTAGATCAGTGATGGCGAACCTTTTGAGCTCGGCGTGTCAGCATTTTGAAAAACCCTAACTTAACTCTGGTGCCGTGTCACATATAGAAATTTTTTGATCTTTGCAACCATAGTAAAACAAAGATTTATATTTTTGATATTTATTTTATATATTTAAATGCCATTTAACAAAGAAAAATCAAACAAAAAAATGAGTTCGCGTGTCACCTCTGACACGCGTGTCATAGATTCGCCATCACTGATCTAGATGAACGTCACTTGGCTGAATTTAGTTGTAATTGTTCTTCTTTTTCAATATTTTCTTCTTTATTGCTTTAGTATTATAGCCATTAATATTTTTGTTATTTTCTCTCATATCTTACAGGCCTCCTTCCTTTTTCCTTTTCCATTCTTTCTCAGTTTACCTTTACCTTTCTTCTTTTAACCATTGCATAACTTTTTCCCTTTCCTTCTCTGTCTTCTTGTCTTTTTTTTTTTACCTTTTTCCTTTTCCTACTCTCTACTCATAGTTTTTGCTCTCCTTTGTTCTTTAAGAATCTTTTTTCTGTCACTTTTCCACTATTCTCTTTATTTTTTTTATTTTACTATTAGTAATATTATCTTTGTCTCTCTTTTTGTTTACTATTCTTGTTTTCTTATCTCTTTACTAACTCTCCTCTCTTTTGTGGTTGTTTCCCCTATCAGCACATGTAAAAGAGCTCGCATAACATGGTTTTGGTTGAGCCTTACAGTTACCCATCCTCAGAGGAGAGCCCACCCACAAATAGGACAACAACAATCAAGACCCAATTATAACAGGAGAGCCCAAAAAACCCGCAAAAGGGTCACTCCTAGGGCACACAACTCAGCAGTACAAGGACACTGGGTCCCACAGAACACTGACTACAAAAGCCCACCCCAAGAAGACTGGGAGTCATAGCAAGTATGTCTCATTTATAAACACAAAGAGACAGCAAAAAGGGGAGACAAAGAAACAACCCCCAACTTAAAGGAAAGGAGGGATAGCCAGAAAAATAGCCAAATAAGATGGAGGTGAGAAAGGTATCAGACATAGAGTCCAGAGTAATGTTTATAAAGATGCTCAAGGAACATAGTGAGAATGACAAGGAACTTAGTGGGAACTACATCAGCATGAAAAAAGACAGAGAACTAAGAGCCAGGCAGAAATGAAGACTATATAGGACATCAAGAATACACTGGAGAGGAAACCAAAATGGCGGCATAGGTTAACGCCGGAGTTTGCTGCCTCGAACAACCACTTCAAAAATACAACTAAAAGACGGAACGGACATAATCCAGAACCACAGGAAGGCTGGCTGAGTGGAAGTTCTACAACTAGGAAGAAAGAGAATAGCACACCGAGACTCAGAGGAGGCGCAGTGCTGAAGTGAAATACTAAGGTGCAGAGTGCATGTGGAGCGGGCTGGTGGCTGAGGGCGAGGTTGTTGTTTTCAATCAGGAGGGAGTCTCAGACTCTGAGCTCCAGATCCGGGCGAGTCTCTAGGGACCCAGACTCAAACGGGAGAAGTGGGACTGCCTGGCTTTGGTCGGAACTCGAAGGCAGCTTTCTCTCCGAGGTTTGCAGCGGTTGCTGGGACTCTGAGAGGCAGAGCCCCTGGGGACTGGACTGAGAGCAGCCATAACTGCTCACTCCGCCCGCCCTGTAGATCCCCAGGGACCCGCCCTGCCCAGGCCCTGCACAGAGGCATCTGCCAGATAGCCTCAGGCAAAGGCTGGACTAGAGATCCAGTTCTTCCACTGCAGACACAGCTGATTCTCACAGCCAGTTAGCCTGGAGGTCAAATCACCTCCAGTATTCCAGTATTACATCAAGGCTTAACTACAACAAGACTGCGCACAAAGACCACAAGGGGGTGCACCAAGAAAGCATAAAAAATGCGGAGACAAAAAAACATGACAGAAATGGAGGATATAGAGCTAAAAAACGCA